GAAAAAGATAAACCGCTACAGTTTTGTAAGGTTAAAGAATTCCGTGGTCTCTCCTTGGATACAGAACTCTAAAAACAATAATATCCAATCACTCTATTTGATAAGTGATATCTAAAGGCCAATCTAGTTGATGTAACAAACAAACGCGCCGCATTGGTGACCTTAAAGATCTAAGCCTTAAAGTTGCTAACGTGCAAGAAGCTTCTTGACGCCTCTCTCAAAGGTTGTAATAAGGAGTTACCACGTGTGAATTCCATTTTAGAATGTTGCAGCAGAGAAATAAGTCGCCAATTTTTTTTCCGTTCGTTCTGGAATATAGACAAAATCTATCAATATATAATATGACGTTGAGGAGCTCGATGGCGCAGAGGAGCTTAATGGCGCAAAGGAGCTCGATGGCGCAAGTGGTTATCGCATTCGGTTTCGATCGTTAAGCAACTTTCGCAGTGGTCAGTCTTTGGATGGGTGACCAAAAAAACTTACTGTCTCGAGCTCCTCCGTGCTTCGGAAGGCACGTGAAGCCGTTGGTCCCGGCTGTATCTGCAGTCGTTAGCACCCACTAATCCGCATCCGCCCGCGTGGTGGGGCATGGCCCAATCTCCCTATTCCATCCATATGGAAGGCCTGTGCCCCAGCAGTGGAGACATTAATAGGCTGATGATGATGATGAATCAATATATTAATAGTTATTTACATAACCAACTTTTGGTGTGGATAATTACGCATTGTTTTTGGTTACTCATGGTAATAGATGGTCTTACGTACTTTTTAATTGTTGTAACAAACTTGAGTTCACCAACACAAAACATTATAGTTGAAATAGGGATACATTTTATATGAAATTTAGCGGATTACTATTATGTTTTTTAACTTTAAGGCAGTTAAGGCAGTAAACAATAATTTTGTTTACTGCCTTAACTGAGAGTCAAAGTTAGTTAGGACATAAGATGTTAATATAGGTAACTATATTTACTTTGAAAAATATAATGTCAACAGACAATTAATATTAAATTAACATTCACTTACCATCAGGTGAGCGGGTGTTGATTCTGCTACTTTAAAGTAAATAATCTTATAACAATGGCGTTTCAGTAGTTTTGATTTTTAACACAATCAAAACTATAAATACATCTGATTTCTTATTTGTTATTGTTACCTATATGCATTTTTATTTTATGAATTAGTAGCAAGAAATATGACAAAACTCAATACCACTTAACCACTATTGAGACACGATTTTGACGTTAGCGTATAGCAGAATCGACAACTATGCCCCATATATACGCAATATAAAAAAAAGGCTGGGTAGTGCAAAACTTAGATCTAAGCGATATTTATGAACAACATAAGATGTCGATTGAAGATTTAACCTAACCTCACTAATTTCAAATATAGGAATTCAAACCGTACCGTTTTGAGATAAAATATGTTTCAATAATTTGTAATTGTGACGGTTGCGATAACTCAGTAAATTTTACTCACACACAACTTAATATTTGTCGATCTGCACTGCGCCCTTACCCTGTTATTATAATATTTAACAACATTCGTATCATTTATAAGGTAACTTCTAACCACGTGTTAATCCTGGGTAATAGTGTGTGTATGGGACATTTTAATTAAAGATTAAGATCTTTGGGAATAGTAAATGAAGCCATTTATATGCATGTGCCCCAGTACATTAGCCTGCAAAGAATCATTGAATAGGGATTTACGAAATATTTTATTTTATGATAAGTAATTTATACAAGTACATCAAGCTATCTATCATCGTAAGAGAGGTAGGGATAGCGGATTTTCCGCTCGAATTGGAGCGCCCGTCTGGGGAAGTAACCTCCACCTTACAGAAGACCGCAGTAAAATAGCACTACCTTTTGGTGGCTTTGTACTTCTGTGGGTGAGTAAGGTTCCAGAGCTCCACAGGTAGGGGCTTGGGTCAGGGTAAGCAACGGCGCGAGTGATATTTTTTGTATCGCAACCGTCTAAACTATCAGCTACAGTGGGCCGCTTACCTGGCGAGTAAGGTTCCAGAGCTCCACAGGGTAGGGGGTTGGGTCATGGTAAGCAACGGCGCGGGTGATATTTTTTGTATCGCAACCGTCTAATCTATCGGTTACAGTGGCCGCTTACCTGGCGCGAGTAAGGTTCCAGAGCTCCACAGGGTAGGGGGTTGGGTCATGGTAAGCAACGGCGCGAGTGATATTTTTTGTATCGCAACCGTCTAATCTATCGGCTACAGTGGCCGTTTACCTGGCGCGAGTAAGGTTCCAGAGCTCTACAGGGTAGGGGGTTGGGTCATGGTAAGCAACGGCGCGAGTGATATTTTTTGCATCGCAACCGTCTAAACTATCGGCTACAGTGGCCGCTTACCTGGCGAGTAAGGTTCCAGAGCTCCACAGGGTAGGGGGTTGGGTCATGGTAAGCAACGGCACGAGTGATATTTTTTGTATCGCAACCGTCTAAACTATCGGCTACAGTGGCCGTTTACCTGGCGCGAGTAAGGTTCCAGAGCTCCACAGGGTAGGGGGTTGGGTCATGGTAAGCAACGAGTAATATTTTTGTATTGCAACCATCTAAACTATCGGCTACAGTGGCCGCTTACCTGGCGCGAGTAAGGTTCCAGAGCTCCACAGGGTAGGGGGTTGGGTCATTTTAAGCAACGGCGCGAGTGATATTTTTGTATTGCAACCATCTAAACTATCGGCTACAGTGGCCGTTTACCTGGCGCGAGTAAGGTTTCAGAGCTCTACAGGGTAGGGGGTTGGGTCAGGGTAAGCAACGGCGCGATTGATATTTTTGTATCGCAACTGTCTAAACTATCGGCTACAGGGACCGTTTACCATCAGGTCGGCTATATGCTTTGTTTTCCACCATTTTAACATAAAAAGGCTCTCGAATTCTCCGATGATAAAATGGATACAATAAAGTCCCAAGCAATATCCAAGAGTTAACCATAAATAAATTTAAAGATAGTATAAAAAACACTTACTAAAAAAGCTTATTACAAAGTGTCTGATTATTTATTACAGACAAAAATGCTTGGGTTTGAACTGTTCCAATCATTCCAACAGCTTTTCTATATTAAATAAATCATAATTGTATTGACGTTGTAACACCATAATGATTTGTAAATGTTGTTACATTAGACTGTTAATGCTGTGGAGGTATTTTCGCTCGTTTTTCTCCGCAGCTAAAAAATATGTCCATAACGAGGGGTAGGGAAAAAAAATTTGGACGATTCAAAAAAGATGTACTATACATCCAATTTGAATTAAGATATATTGATTTCTGGATATGGAAGAAAAAAATCTGCTGGAATTTTAGTGCAGAGTACTTTAGACTGTGAACTTTGGAATTCAGTACAATATGAGTCGGTTATTTTTATTTCGGAAAGTTTTTAATTAGTAAATATCTTAAACTCTTCGCCTTGTCATAAAAGGATAGGGCGGAAAAATTTAGCTATGATCGATTGTCTTATTTCATACTTTAACATATAGATTAAAGCAAATTTACGTAGTGGTGTTAGTGATATAATGTCCGCTTCCACCTTTAACCACCAGAATATTCGGTGCTTGTGTATTAAAATGGTCAACATTTTTCAATTTCTTATAAGTTTATTGCACCCTTGCAGAGTTGGGCGGGTGTATTAGCGGGTATGTACTAGCTATAGCTACATACATGACTTGAAAGCGTATTTTTTGCCGGCATGGCATGCCAACCTTATTTTTCAGAAAGAAAACACTCCCAAATTGTTTTATTTCATTGCAGTTTTTTGGGTTCTGTACCTTAAAAGGAAAAAACGGAACCCTTACTTTGTTGTCTGTCTGCGTGGAGCTATCAAACTGAAATTCATATATAATACTCAGGTCTATTGTTCCTTGGAGCTGTGAAAAAATCAAACTTCTAAGCCAAAGAAATCAAAAGATACAGCCGTTGATGCTGCAAATTTGTGTTGTTGATGATGCTGAACTTAGAATCTTAAAATTTGGTACGAAGTAATGTCTTATAGTACAGATAAAGGAAAAATTGCGAAAACCGTAAATTTTAGTTACATCATATAATAAAAAATATTTTTGAAAATTCAGGTTTGTACGAAACCCTCGGTGCGCGAGTCCGACTCGCACCTGGCCAGTTTTTTTTCTATGAGGATGGTTATACAAGTGGAAAACGAGCTGTACTTACCGTACTTATTACTAATCATATTTAACAAATGCATCTGAAGTTTAGGTAGGTACTTATGATACAAATAACTGATTTGTGTTTGTTAACTTATTTGTTAACTTAGTTGCAGCAATGCGTTAAAGCATTTGCAAGCTGATCATCTCATTGCAATAACAAATACAAGGTCAATGACCAGCCAGAAATGCACATTCCGACTCCAAAATCTGGGAGACTGGTTTGCGATAAGCACTTACTAATGCCATATCCATGCTACATGATTTGCGCAAGTGTCTGTAAAATTTTAACACAGCTACAAATGACCATTGACCTTACCTAAAAGAGGGAAGCTAAAAGAAAAAAATAGTATTTCTTCTTTGTTTTCATAATTTTGACTACAACGCGTTAATTGATGCATTCTGAAAGGCATAACATCATGATAGATTAGATTATCAAGGTAAACGAACCGTCACTATAATAAATCAAGGAAAAGTTGACTACTCTAGAACTATGTGAGCAATTTTATATTACCTTGTAAGTAGCTGTGGACTAGCTCATAATATAACAATTAAAACTGTTTTTATTGTTTCCGTTTACACGTATGATTGTGCAACTAAGCATACCTTTCGAATAATTCACATAGGCGAAGCACAGTCGTAAGTTAAAACTATCAAGACGTGGATTCGGGGTTTTCCTGATGCTGGCTGTGCTATTTCTGTTCTTTTCGCGCTTGTGGAGAGGTGGACTTGCGGGTGTTGCGTCTCATTCTAGCATGGGAAGGCTTGCGCGGAAAGAGAATGTGGCTGGCTAACGAACGACCTTTCGTTGGTACGGGTAAGCAGTGCGGCCCGAGCGTTCGTCGGGAGAGGTACTTTCGGTGGCTTTAACAACATCGCGACCACATGACAGCCTGAAAAAAAAATTACGTAAATATTTCAACACTCACGCATTGATTATGAAACGTCTGTAACTGTTTAGCTGCAGCACTGATTCAGGGTACCTTTAATAAGCAACGCTTGTGTAAGTAGTGTGTAACAAATGTTGGTTTGAATTGTGCGCTCCCGTTTGACCCTGGTGATTTTATTTTATTATATCGTATCCTGGTCCCGTTCCGTGGTGTTCACTTAACAGTCCAACCCTGTGTTTTGTTGTGATTTATTTCTGATTGGATTGTCACTTGTTTTTTGGTAAGTGCCCCTACATTCCTTTTGTTTTCTTCTATTATTCGCATCTTTTTCTTTTTGGTTATGTGTTGTATTATGTTTTATTTTTTAAGCGAATGCTCATAAATAAGTTTCAACAGACAAAATCTGTCAATAGTATAAATTAGTAATTTATTTTGAAAATACAAAATAGTATATAACTGAGTTTCTTGTGATATCCTGCTTGTTTTTGCACTAACATCCTACAAAACACTATCTGTCAAAATTGTAGACAAAATCTGGAGCAACGTTCCTAAATTTTTATATGCGATAGTCTTAGAATATTAATATTTTTTGTAAATAAGATCTTACTTGGCAAGGTGCCGCTTTGAAATCAAGTGGTGAAGGCTGGGTTCCATTACCGAACTTATGTTTATTAATGCCAATTCAGTGATCACTTATTTGGTTGTGGTATGGAAAAGTCTCTGTGGCGTCACCAAAGAAATTTTTGTTATATTTATTCATATACTTTTCCACTGCAAAAAATCTGTTTTAATCAATGGTGAATTTTCCATTAATACTTAAGCATGACATTAAAGGGTCCACCATCGCTACCATCTCTGTTTATTTTGTTGACATTTTGTTGACATTTTGTTTACCTTTTTTTGCCCCTACTTTAATTATGAAAACTTGATGTTGTTTATTATGCTGCTCTATTAAATAACAGTCAACTCATTATTTTGTTACAATAAGAAAATTTGCTGTCATTAATTACCTTGTTCGATTGCTTTCTACAAGTAATATCATATAGCGCTCTACTGATTTATGTTGCGGTCTTCACTCAATATATTATTATGCTATCATCATCATCATCATCATCCTATAAATGTCCCCACTGCTGGGGCATAGGCCTTCCCTATAGATGGAATAGGGAGATTGGGCCATGACCCACCACGCGGGCCCGTGCGAATTGGCGGGTGCTAACGACTGCAGTTGCAGCCGGGACCAACGGCTTAACGTGCCTTCCGAAGCACGAAGGAGCTCAAGATAGTAAATTTTTGGTCACCCATCCAATGACCGACCACTGCGAAAGTTGCTTAACCTCAACGATCGCAGCCGAATGCACTATCCACTTGCGCCATCGAGCTCCTCAATGATAAATATATGATATATAATGGTGGAATTTAAATAGGTACGTAGTTGAAATAATTCCTTGGCACACAATAATTTTCTTCGCTTAAGGAACCGAAACCTGTCGAGCGGAACGTGTAGCAAAAAATGATTACAAATTTAGGTTAAATATCAAATGTAAAAACTGATTTGAGCAGCTCTAACAAAGAAAAAACTATTAGACTAGAAAAAAAAATTAAAAAGACAACTTTTATAATTAAACATTTTAATAAGTTATGTAGGGCGCACTTGAAAAAATAAATAATATATAAGCCGCTATTTGGAAAATAAGGAGATAAGTAACAATAAGTTTATTTCTAAATAAAAGTCAAATACTTCTACTTAAAGTGAATTTATTTTAAGTAAAATAAAACAAAACCAGTCTGAAGTTACTTAATTAATTTAAATTAAAGCAATAATCACAGAATTTCAAGAGTATAACCAGTCTCTTCGACTGTAAGTATGGTAGAGATAGCAGTTTTCCATAATTTCTACATGTCCTGCAAAACTGAGTATCACACTTTTAAAATAGCATTAACGTTATAAACACACTAGAGGCCGCCCGCGACTTCGTACGCGTTGAGTTAGTTAGAAATAAAGGTTCACTGCTCGTTCCCCTTAGGTTATAGCGTGATAATATGTAGCCTATATGTTGACCCAAATTCTTAATAATATTCGTGCCAAATTTAAAGTAAATCCATGCAGTATTTTTTGAATGTATCCCGGACATACATTCAGACAAACAGACAATAATTCGGAAATCTATATTTTTGGCTTTCGTATCGATTGAAAATCACACCCCAAGTATTCTTTTCAAAAAATATTCAATGTACAGTTTCCACTTTCCTACTATTTTATTATATGTATAGATAAGACATACTTTTGAAATCCTGCTGCAAATATTTTGCTATTGCGTAGTTTACTATAGTTTCAAAGCAAGCTCATAAAATTTGCTATAAAACGTTTATATTTTGAATCTCTCTAATCTATAGATTAAAAAAAATGTGATACTTAGTTTTGCAGGCCAGTGTCCTATAGGAGATAAACAGAGGAGATTGCTCAGCTGCCATACATGTTTGGCCTAAAGACCAATAATCATGAAAAATTGTTTCCTAGATTCGAAATTATATATAAATTACTGTAGAAACGAATATTATTGACGGACACCCCTGAGAACTTCTATAAACCATATACACCAAAGGTGTCCGTTGAAATGTAATGACTGTAAATTATAAATTACGCCAAGAATTACCGTGTATGTCAATATTTTTTGTGCATTTGGGCCAATTTGAGCAATCTCCTTTCTCCTTTATAAGCTTTATTGATGACATGGTAATATAATAACAGCGTTAAACGTATTCTTTATTTTCTATGCCTTATCTTCTATCACTAAGCAATAACAAATAAGGTACTATTAAAAAGTTTATACTTTCTATCCATACACATATTAATTTTCATCTTTACTAATATTATGAAAAAGTGGTTTTTATTTTAAATTAAATATATGTATAAAAGAATTAGATTTTCTTATTTCACAATTTGCTAATATATTGTTAAACTGATATGATAATTTGTAATTAATTATATACGTAATTGAGTGTAGATCTATTTATTAATTAACTTAAAGTTAATAATAAACTATTATATTTTCGAAATGGTATCCATCGACGTCAGATTATTAATTTGTATAAAACAAACTTATAGATACTTAACTTCACCGGTATGTACAATCGCAACCACAGAAACGGTTACGCTTGTCCTGCAAATATAGTCCTTATCGCTATCGGATGAATACCCTGTTCAAGTCTAAATTGAATCCGCCGATGTTGCCTAGACTGTACTGTAAGGCCGCGCGCACTTTGGACACGTTTTCGTACGAATTTTACTCGTGCGCGCAGACTGAGTGCGAGTCAGTTGTGCGTATACGTACGTGTAGTTCAGACGTCCGAAAATAATCCCAAACTTGTTGGGATTTTAAAACACATTCGTACGTTTTAACATAAGAAATGGATGTAGAAAAGTTAATTAACCTGATTCACGAACATAAATGGTTGTGGGACCAAAGTCATTCCAATTATCACTTACGTGACCTTCAGCGCAACGCATGCCGAGGAATATCCGAAGACGTCTACGATAGCGACGACTCCACCGCAGTCTTTGAGTCATAAGAGAATTATCGTGAAGATACAGATTATTCATCGCGCTCCAACCAAAGCAGACTTCACAAATCTGATATCACTAGAACACTGCTCATTTGACTAATAAAAACGTATACAGTGTGCGCACTCAATTCGTACGACCACGATCGTACGTTTACTGTATGATACGAATTCGTGTCCAAAGTGCGCGCGGCCTAAAGGTGTTTGCTCTCCCCGAACCTTCTTGACAAATATCATTACTTTATGTTGATTCAACGTGCGTACATCAATTAACGCTTATATTAGGTTGGCTTCAAGTTATTAGGTAATTTCTAATTGGAATTCCCATTTGTTTGTCCAAAAGTGTCAACATTGTCTCACGAGTAATTATTATTTACTTCGTAAGCCACAGCAGCCGTAGAATTTTATGTCACGTTCAAATTGCTCTCTGTTGCAATTCTTTTCAAATACTTCAAATTTATGCGTTATTTTATTAGTCGTCGTTATATCTATAATGTCGACGAAGAGCTTGAATGATTTTGTGTATAGTTACAGTAAATTTTTATGAAAAACAATATGACAGCATTGTCTTTCTATATCTTGAAAATGTCTAAACTGTGCACAGTTTCTTTCGTCTTTCGCAACCGTCGCACCATTACGATGTTGCTTAATCGTCGAATATCTATCATTCACTTTGTCGGCTTACATTTTTACAAGCAACCATTATAGTAACATCAGCATTTCGTAATCTCAGTCACGATCTTTTCAAATGCACTATTAACTATAACAAAGTGTGTTACAAATTATTAAAGGCTTTCTGATTTTACTACCTACTGTATTCGAAATGATTGTTTCTATTTTTCACTTCTAAAGGTTAACTGAGTTTTTATTTTAATCAACTAGCGGTCAGGACATAGGCTGTCCTGGAGCGCCATATACCGGGCCCTTATATGAATCTTTAACATCAAAGACCCACATGGATACAAACATGAAATGCAATTGAAATTGGCTTCAAGCTGTGGTAATTGAAAGTCCAGCTGTTTAGTAACTACTAAACAGCTGGACTTTCAATTGCCACCACCACTTTTATTTGCCCTAGTATTAGTAATGCAACTTCATTACTAATACTAGGGCAAATAAAAGTATGATACCTATATGTAAAATAATACGTAAACGAAAATCTACCTTAACATCATTCAAATCAGTACTTAATTTAAAAAGCTTTTTTAACAAAAATAAAAACAGAGTTCAAAAAACAAAATCATTAAAGTTCAAAAAACAAAATCATTAAAAATGACATAATTATTTACTTATATCTAAAGTATATTCAAAGTCAAACTAACTATTGGTGTCGGTGCTATATATACCAAACAAATAGTAAAAGGTAACTCAGATTTATCAACCTGCGCACCGGGTTCGAATCCCGTGTGAAACACGTACAGGCTGGAATGATTTTTTTAGAGAAAAAAAAATATATAACTTGTGAAATCATTCGCGCGCTGCTTACCCTGGGCCCATCTTCTACTCAGTGGAACCCTTGAATCCTTACTCGGAGACAGAAATATATTCCAATTAAAGGTAGGGGTATTTCACTGCGATCTTCTCTAAGTGGAATTTACTTTCCCAGAGGGGCAGAGAAAGGCTGATAACCCTCTGCGCCTAATCAATTACTCATCGAAAAATCTCCATATTTACCCTAAGTCCCACTTAAATACACATTATGATGAATTTAGTATC